GGATGGGAGGGAGAGACCTGGCACGCACTCTGTGCGGGCTCTCTGAGCAGATTTCCAAACACAGCTGCCGGCCTGATGTTTTCTAGTTTCAGGATATGGTTTACTACCACTCAGGGCCGCTCCTAAAGAAGCACCCAGATCTGTGGCGCTCTCTGTGGAGAATAAGTCTTTGATTCGGAACGTGCCGGGTGTCCCTGTTTGGACTGTGACTGGACATTGGTTTCTAAAAACAAAAGAGGGGCAGAGTGTGTGGCACGTGCCTGGACACTGGAGGGTGTTTTTCATGCACTGTGCCGCCCGCGTGTACACACACACACACACACACAGCTTCTTCGGAAGTGGGCGCGAGCGACTCAGAAGCAGCTAGCCTCTGCTCCATCCTGCTTCCCCACCTGGATGTCACCCTGGATAGAAAGGCTTCTTGCAATTTGCCTAAATCCCTGAGGCTGATGAACCTCGTTACCATTGGCCACCTCCCAACAACATAGCCAGGTTCTACCCTGGGAGGGGGAGTGCAATTGGGGTCCCAACTCATGCGATCGATCATGCATGTCAGAGTAGGTCTGCACCCCACAGGGTCTTCCTGGCTCCCTGGGGCCTTTCCGAAGCAGATTGCCAGGTCGAGGTAGCTCTGGGTGAGTTCAAACCTCCATCAATTAGTGGACACCACTTAACCATCTGCACCACCATTGGAAAGGGAACCTTTAAAGAGTCCCTGCCCTTGCCCATCTTCCTTGATGACTCAGGTCTGAAATGTCATGACTTTGTGGAGAAAAGTGCACACTGGCTGCTCTGCCGTGGCACCTCCCCTGGCCCCCACCCCACCCCCAGCATCTGCTTTTCCCATGGTTCCTCCAAGATGGGTTTTCAGGTCCCCGCCCCCCCCTGCCCGCCCCCCCAGCATCTGCTCTTCCCATGGTTCCTCCAAGATGGGTTTTCAGGTCACCCCCACACTTCGGCAGTAGGGGAGTGTGTGGTGTGGGTAGTGTCTCTGAGGCTGTTAGCGTGACTGTGTACACAAATCTGAGAGCAGAGATTCCTGGCTGTCCGCTTGATCCAGAGTCCACCCCAAGGTGAGGGAGGTGTTGGTGTGACGCAGGCACGTTGCTGAGACTGCAGGCAGAATCACTGTGCCTGTGTTTCCCTGAGGACAGATGACAGAGTCAATGCTGCATGTACATTTAAGCTAGAAGTGTTTGCTCAGGGGCGGGGTGTCTTTGCCTAAGCCTTTATTTAGGTGATGGCTGGTTTCTGAACTCAAACAGCCCTAGAAGAATGTGTTTGGGAGAAGTAGAAATCAGAAGGGGAGTGTGAGGAGTGGAACTAAACAAATCACTCCATCCCCAATTGTAGAAACATAACAGCAATTTCCAGAGCAAATCACCAACCAGCTATCTCATACCAACCAGGGCCACTGCCATACAGTTGGTTTCCACTCAGAGTGACCCGAGAGAAGGCTTTCTAAGGCTGTAGATCTTTACAGGAGCAGCCAACCTCATCTTTCTCTTGAGGAGTGGCTGGTGGGTTTGAACTGCTACCCTTGCAATTACCTAACCAATACCTAATCTACGGTGCCACCAGGCTCCCCCTAGTCCCTCCTTTGTTATTTGCATTATCTTTTCCGTGAGTGTGCTACCTGGACCCACAGGTGTCTGGACCAAATGATTAGCCAGCAGTTGTTCCATCGCTGATTCTGTCCGCTGAAGTGCAGCTGACACCAAACGGTGGTTTGTGACTTGAAAGACCAAGCAGGGAAGCACAATGGCCTTCGTCTGCCTCACACCGGTGCTCATGGATCCGCCTGTGTGCTTGTCGTTGGGAGTGGAGAAAGGGGAGACTGTCCCTGTCTGGAGAAGTGTCTACAGTCTTAAGGAGGGAAACAGACAGGGGCCCAACTCCCTGGCATGTGCCAGATTATGACAATGTAGTAACAGAGACATAAACTAGTGTAGGGGGCACTGGGAGACAGCCTGGAAGGACTGGTAAAGCCTCCCAGAGAAGATGGCATTTATGCAGGGTGTTGAAGGGTGACTCGGAATTCCAGTGCTTAGAGCACTCAGCTGCTAACCAGAAGGTTGGCAGGGCAAACCCACCAGCCACTCTGCAGGAGGAGGTCGTGGCAGCCTGCTTCTGTCACCCCCTGGGGACAGTGCTGCTCTCCTGTGGGGCTGCAGTGAGTCCGCACTCCTTTTCCTAGGAGGACACCACCCAGCAGAGGGAAGCCAACAGGAAGGTGCAGAGGCAAGAGGGTGGAGGCTGTGGAGTACCCACTCGCCAATCTCCAGAGTAGGGGCCCTTCACAGCTTCCCAAAGGCCCTGTTTCCTCCACAGCACTGAGAGCCGTCATCTCTTTTGTCTTTCCTAACGTGTCATTCTACTGAGTGTGCCTTCTAGTTCTTATACTACAGTACATTCCCATCTGACATCACGAGCTATGGTAGCCTGACATGCAGTGCTTGCGGGAATCAGGTGGGTGGCTCTCGAGAGCAACGGATCTGGCCCAGGTTGTGTCTGACCGCCTACTTGCACGTGCATTTACTACGTCTTTGTGCTCGGACGGGGCATGTAAAAAGACCCTTTTTGTCTAGCAGCCTGTACTAGCATTGCGTGGGCTCAGTGCTCTCCATTATGATATGTAACTTCTCTCTGTCATCAATTCAATGCTGACTCATAGCAACCCCAAACCCCTGTGAGTTTCTGAGACTAACCATTTATGGGAGTAGAGAGGCCAGTCTTTTTCCCGCCAAGCTGCCAACCATGCAGATTGCAGCCCACCGCGGAACCCCTACACCACCAGGGCTCTTAAATGTAGCTTAGCCTCCTCTAAATGATAGGTGCATGCTGCCAACTTTTCAGGCTGCCTTCTCTTCCGCCCCCCACTTGAGCAAGCCATTAGTAACTTGGGGAGTTGGCTCATAATTCGAACAGTGCCCCAGCAGAGGGACCTGAGGGCCACGGATCCTGCTGTGTGTTACATCACAAGGGGGCATCCTGTGACGGGAACTTGTGCCCAGTGTGCATGGAGTGCTGCCCTCAAGTGTGCTGTGTGCCTGGTCTCACGCTGGCTGGAGGCCCCGCATTTACTTCTGACTTGCAATCCTGGGCTAATTCCTTTCTCCCACTGTTCCCTCTGGACTGTACCCAGAGCACGGATGGCTTCCTGTAACGTGTAGAGTAGATCCTCATTTGCCACCTTCCCGTTAACTCAGGATGCGCAGCCCAGCCGAGGTTGGGGTCATGGGTGGAAGAAGTGGTGTATTGAATGGTCTGCATGTTGGCACAGGACTAGTAAGGGACTGCGCTGGATCCAAACCCTAGACTGTGGTACAAGGTCCAATTTCCACTGTGAGCTGTGACAACGAGGGTGTGCTTTTTAATTAACTGCCAACCAACCACGCCCCTGCCTTAGAAACCATTCTGACTCACATGCACCGAGACTACATCTTTCTGGAACAGAAAGCCTCATCTTTCTCCTTTAGAGCACCTGGGTGGGTTTGAACCATCAACTTTTCAGTTAGCAGCCCACTGCTTAGCCCATGATACAAGCTTCTAAAATAGTGTAAGAGTTCTCCCATGCAGATACACAGATCAGAGTTTAAATCTGCAATGTCTATGTGCCTGGCACTGTTCAGGGCATATGATGCATGTCACCCCATTAAATCCTCGCAGCTGCCCTGTTCAGGGACACTCATCCCCATGATACATATGAGGAAACTCAGGCAAAAGGTCACAGAGTGGTGCACCCAGAGCTGACGGAATGCCAGCCTCCATCGCCATCGTCTCAGGCAACAAAGCAGTGTGTGGGCCGCAGGGCCTGGAGTCCATAGGTGGGACAGTTAACACCTTCAGCTGCTGACCAACCAGTTTGAAAGCCCCAGCCCACCCAGAGGTGCCTCAGAAGAGAATCCTGTCAATCCCTTCCCAAGGAAGTCAGTCCCTGAACACCTCACCGAGCACAGAGCCCCTCAGCAGGTGTCGCCACGAGTCGGAATGCACTCAGCGATCACTCACACGTGCTGCTGTGCCATCAAGTCGATCTGACTCGTGGCCCTGCTCTCGAGGATTCCCAGGCTGGTGCTCTAATGGCACCATCGGGTAAGTGTTGGACTGCTAGCTCCAAGGTTGGCGGTTCAAACCCACCATCCACTCCATGGAAGAACAGGATGAGGCTGGCCTGCTCCTGGAAAGCTTTACAGCCTCAGGGTGTCCCTAGGGAGTCTGCGAGTCAGAAGGGACTGCGTGGCAGTGGGACTCTGTGCCCCAGGAGCGCGTCATTAGGTCTCTCCTCCCTCACAGCCTTGGTGGATTTGACCACGGACCTTTAGGTTTCCATTGTGCCAGCAGGGCCCCCCCTCCTAACAGTGGCAGTCGGGGTCATCCCTTGTGGCATTGGGTGCTGCACCTGACTGCTGTGACCAGAGGTTCCAACCAAGTGAGACTCCCTATCAGGCTGTGTGATGGGAGCAGGGGGACAGCTCGTTGTGCTCGGGTCTGAGGAGATGAGGGTACTGGGTGTGGGAATAAGAGCGAGAAAGGAGGGGAGGCTCAGGGAGCGGAGTCCAGATGCAGGGTGTGAAACCTGAATGTGTCTGCCTGTCCACTGTCCAGGGGGACACTCCTGGTCGCACCTCAGTAGCATTTACCATGACTGGGCTTGAGGGGTGGTAGAGCAGTCAGCCTCTATTGATAAGCCTTGCTCTACTGCTTGGGTAATAACACGTTCATTATTCTTTGTGAGGTCAGCAAATTAAAAGACTTTGCAAAGGCAGCAGGAGAAGGAGGTTGACCCCGGAGTGTGAGATGCTTCACTTGGCGAGGCAGAGGGATACGTCTGACCTTTGGTGCCAAGGAAAGGAATGTGTCGCCCACTGGGTCACAGTTAGTAACCAGAATAAAAGCAGAAACTGCCTCAAGCGCCTAAATGAAAGGGGGATTCAAAAAGTTGGTGAGAAAATTTCTTTAACTTTTAATACTGTTTCCACCTACTTCTTCAAGGCTCTTGGTAGGGAGCCCAATGTCCTTAAGCTAAAAGCTCTGGTGGAGAGGGCGCCTTGCCCAGGGAAGCCAACAACACTTGAGTATGAACCCTTTCTTGCCCACCTAGCAAGTTTGCTCATGTCAGATGAGTAACTAATTATAAGAGGTGGGGTTGGTAAAGGCAGAGAGAGGCCTCCTGGGGCGATAGTTAATACTCAGCTGCCAGTCAGAGGGTCAGCAGTTCAATCCCACCAGCAGCTCCATGGAAGAAACCACCTGGCAGCCCACTACCACCAGAATGGCAGCCTAGGAAACCCTACAGGGCAGCTCCACTCTGATACACAGGGGTTTCTATGGCTCCTCCTGGAAGAGAGTCCACGAGGCACAGTGGGAGGCTGCTAACCAGAAGGTCAGGGGTTTGAATCCACCAGCCAGCTTCTGTAAACACTAGTAGCCTTAGAAACCCACGAGCATCTCCTCCCTTGCCCTGTAGGGTCCCTGTGAGTCGGAATCGACTTGACAGCAATGGGTTCGGATGAGTTGGACACACACAGGCACTCGCACGCTGCAGGCAGCAAAGCCCAGCCAAGCCACAGGGCTCTTGGGACTGATGGAGCCCACTGGACGCGCCAAGAGGCCTGAGGCTTTACTGGTGTATGTCACAGCAGGTTGCATCGTGTCGAAACCACCAGCTGGTCTTCAGGAGAAAGATGAGGTTTTCTACACCCGTCAAGGTTAAAGCCTTGGAAACCCACAAGGGCAGTTCTGCCCTCCCTAGAGAGCCCCTCTGACTTGGAATCAACTCGATGGCCATGAGCTTGGTTTGGTTTCTGCTGTTTAAGAGGGGAAGGAAATTCGTAGTAAGTTGCGTGTGGGCTGGGCTGGTTAGATTGGATGGTGCGCTCTCTGCAAGCCAGTGACTGAGCTCTCGGGAATGATTCATTCCTCAAGGGTGCAGGGTCACCAGACGCGTGCGTGCGTGCGTGTGTCGGGAGTTGGGAGCAGTAGGCCTGGTGCCTTGGCAGTGAGGCGGCAGACCCTGTGGGGCCTTATAATCCCATCGGTGACCTGAGCTCTAACTTTGCCCCTGCCCCGCCCACAGGAGGGGCACACAGAGGAGGCGGAAGCAGAAGAGCAAGTCCACGAACAGCAGCCCCCGCAGCAGGATGAGTACTGAACCGGCCTCGGCAGCTCTTGACACTTCCATGTTGTGTGGGAACTTTTTTCCTGGAGATTTGGAACATGTGTGGCCTCAAGCTCAACAGAAAGCAGTTGTCTCTGATCTGCCGTTAACACCCACACTGTCGCATCGGCCAGCCATGCTCTCCGTTCCCACTCACCTGGCCAAGACGCGCCAGCAGGTGACCGCTCTGGCCGTCCACCTGAGCGCGCGTAGGGTCACATACCTGCAACTTCACCACGCGGCTGCTTCAGATTGGTTCTGCTCTCTCCTTCATTTCTGTCCCAAGCAGCTCTCCCCACCCTCTACCCCACCCTCACCCCCTTTTTATCCTGGTGTGAAACAATGGTAATTTGATATATGGTATTTATATTGGCATTTCTCAGCCCAGTGTCACTAGATGTCACATGCATTCGTGGTGCTTTGGTGTTTGCAAGTCTAACCTCTGAGCGTAAATTGGGTCAAATAAGACATTGGAACAAAGGGAAACATGCTCCCATGAAAGCCATAATGACAGTGATTGGTTTGGGGGCGGGGGCCCAGGGCCAGCTTCTCCCGCTCCTCACGACACCGCAGAGGGAAAAGCAGAACAGAACAATGGATTCAAAATGAGGGCAGTTTGGCCCAGCAGTGTTTATCCATCAGGGCATTAGCCCGCCCCACACAGTATGTTTGTTTTGAAAGACATTCACTGAAGGAGAACACCATCTCAGCTTTGCCCTCCCCCCACCCCAGGTCCCCTGCCCCCTTCTTTCTCAGGGTCCTCTCTGGTGGGCACCCATTCTCCCCGAGATGCGCTCATCAGGGCCTGCAGTCCAAAGGGGGTCGGGAGACACAGGGCCTCCTTCCGTGTCACCCTCGCTCCCACCCCTCCTCCAGAGGGTGTCCGCCCAAAGCCTGGCATTCACACCAGGCCATTCCTCCCAAGAACAACTCCGGCGAGTGCAGCCCCAGCTTCCAGGGCTCAGGGGTGCGCTGCACGCTTTCTGGAAGGCTGGCTGGGAAGACCTTGTGAGCAGAAGCCAACTCCCCAGGGGAGGCCTGGTCCTGCATCTGGTTCTGACACCAGAGTGACAGCACGGAAGACGTGTGACACCCGGTCCTTTCCGGAGCAAGGAAGTTCCCCCTCTTGACGATCAGGGCCCTTCTCGCCGTCACCCTTTGCCACACAGTGGCAACTCATAAATAGGAGAAACAGTAATGAATTAAAAAGCATTCCTTATTTTTTTAACTAATGTTTGCACATTTTCTTCGTCTCTTTCCAAAATCTTTGCCATACCCCCCCACCCCCACCCCCTCTAATGGTATCCCTTCCTGGACCCTTCATTTCACCTGGTCTCTAACCTTAAACTGACTTCACTTATTAGTTGGCTTAGCAGTTGCAACAACAACACAAAAGAAAGAAACAAGTGTGCCCACTCCACGTACCTGAAAAGCTGAAATAAATGTCTGAATTAAGTCTCACAAAGATTCCAGATCTCTTTATTCGTGGACTGAAGTCCAATTCTACACTCTGGCCAAGCTTTTCACCAAAAGAAATATTTTCAAAGTAAATCAGCTGCTGCACAGTGGTATCCATTGAGCTACATATGGAAATGGTCGCTTATGTTTCTGTGGTCACAACCCACGTTGTGAATCGGACCAATGTCGCACGGTGTTTGCTTCCCTCTCTTCCCTGCACAGTAGCGGCGGCTCTTTTCTCTGAGGCTGGAAAGCCAGGCTCTCGGCAGTGACATCCTCCCCACCTGGCTACAGTGCGGCCTGGCTATGCTACGTGCGGCCGCCGCCACGCTTCCCCATGTGTTGTGCGCCTGCGCTGTTGACCCCCATTCCTCACTCTTGCAAAGAGGCAGAGTAAAGGACTCTGTGCAGTCCACGCTTCGTAGGCACTTAGCTCCTGCCCTGAGCAGAAGCCCACTGCAGGTGGGTACCTCCAGTGACCTCACAGGGAGTCAGGATCCTGTCTTCTGCAGGAACCACGTGACATACTGTGCCATTTGCAGAAAGCCACTCAGATGAGTTCACTGAGCCACGTCATTCCTCCCAGGACATTCTGGCCAGATAGCCAGCCAAGAGAACTGTCCCCAGTCAAATTTCATCCTCTCGCGGCGTTTGGGGATAGACTGTCCATTTCCTTAAAGAAGAGCTAGAACTCCTTTCTGTCCCCATTCTGAACAGACTCCCAGGGGAAGTCACCAATGCTCTGGGGACTCTGTCTCAGCTAAACTTCAGTCACGGCTTCGGTCCTCATTTCTCTTGTGCCTCACTTCTCCACGGGCCATTCTGGGCAAGCGGCCACCCCAGGCGCTCGTCATCCTGGGCCGAGAACTGTCCCAGTGCCCCCCACACACCCCCTCACCTGTCGGCCGTTATAGCACATCCACACTAGAGTCAGGTAGGAAGTGATCGAAGCAGAGGGCTCCCAGCAGGCCCGCCACGTTCTTTCTAAGCAGGAGAAGAAAACAAACACCCTGTTGACCCAGAGATGTAAACTCCAGGAGGGAACCTACAGCTCCTCCCTGCCCTGGTGAGTATGCCTCCGTTAAGGTTTAATATGCATTCGAATTACTTTTATGAACTAGTACACCGGAAAGCTTTTGTTATATATTAAATGTAAACGGAAAGGAATGTACGCATATGTCTTGTTAATTATAAATATAGATACTAATGACACAATAGAGGAAAAAGTCTTATTCAGATGTATCATGTTTCGTTTTACGTTTTCCGCCTAGTGTCGCATGGTAGACTAGGCTTCGTTTTCTTTTGGTCTCTTAATATGTGAATAACTTGACTTGCGTTTATCTTTTTACATATTTAATAAAAAAAAGTATACGTTAAAATCAGCCTGGACCTATCGTTTCTTCCATTTTGACAGTTACCTTTCTTCTTTCTTTAGTGGTCTTTTTGTAGTGAGCCATGTGCGTATTAATCGGTTGTTTGGGTGGACTCACATGTTTTTTGAGTTAACACGGGTAGGAGAGACTTTCTAAAAAGCCATGGCCTCTGTTACTCCGCGGACTGCGAACTTCAAAGTCAGCAGCTGGAAACCGCCAGCCGCTACTCAGGAAGAAGATGAGGCTCTCTACTCCTGTGAGGAGTTACAGTGTGGGAACCACAGAAGCACTTCTACCCTGACCTAAAAGCGTTTTGACATCAGAAGTAGCAGATGTAGTACTTTATTAAAATTTTACACATGCATACAAAAAAAGAAACTGTTCCCTGTTGAAAGTGTGTTTGCAGATACAGCTTGCTTCATCCAGACTAGATTGGATGAACGGAGCAAAGGGGAAAGGGGAGAGGTGTCTTAAGTAAAGCTTTGTGACAGAATGACAATAGGCAAAAACCTTTTACATCCCTGCATTTGAAATGTTGGTCTTTGAATCCATACCCTGAGACCAGCCCAGGGAACCAGGGTAGTAGAGGCTGTAGAGCCCTGTGCCCTGGAGTCTGCCTTGACTGAGGCTCACACCTTTCACGCTGCAGGATGCCAGCCTACGCTGCTCTCAAGCACCACCTAGAGGTCAGTTTGGTTCTAAATTACACTTTCTTGTTCATTGCCTTTTGATATATATATTGGTGTGTGTGTGTGTGTGTGTTTATATATTTAAGCACAATGTCTTGGGAACCTAGTAAGACACAAAGCTCCTACAACATTTGTCCTGACTGTATTTCTCCCCAGAATCCTTTTGTGGCAGAAGTCTGTTGCTGCTGTCCAAGTCACCAGCCTCAGGCTGTAAACTCCGAATCGCACCTTTACACATTTGCTCACCAGTGATCAAGAATCTCACTAAACTCACTGCCACTGAGTCCATGCCAACTCTCAGCGACTCCACAGGACAGGACAGAACTGCCCCTGTGAGTTACTGAGACTCCCCGTTTATAGGAGTAGAAACCCCGTCTTTCTCCCTCAGAGCTGCAGGTATTTTCAAACTGCTAACTTTGTGGATCCCAGCTCAACATGTAACCCCTACACCACCAAAGCTCCTAATATCGAGAATACACAGACTTAATCACAGGCAAACACTAGTAAACACAAATGACCAAGGTTCAAATGCGGTGGAACCAACGGGTCCCATTAAGTCTTAATGATCTCCAGAAACGTAATGTGTTCTTATTGGTGTCCTGAGTGGTCTCATAAGTTCAGAAACAAAAATAAAAGTTCACGAAAGGCTACAAATTTAAAATTACAGATGGTACATCTCTAAAAGTAAACACACACACACACAACGTAGTTATACTCACAGCACCAATCCCCTCTGTAATGTTGAGCGTCGCGGTGTCTCTAAGAAAGACATCCAACAAATCAATTTTACTCTTCAATTTTGATTACAATCCTAAACTCAATCCAGAAGCAAAATGACCTCACCAAGTGTAATTTCTGAAGCAGCCCGGTAGGATTGGCTTGGAGTTTGGGGCATGCCCTTGGGCAGTCTTGGGTTCTGAAGCCCTGGAGGCATGGAAGGACCCTTCGGGTGTGAAGGTCCTTGCTGAAGCAATGCCTTCCTGTGGATGAAAGCGCCGAGGGCTCTTTTGGTAGAGAATGACTCCTGGGAGCTTCTCGTTCAACAGAACAGCCAGTAGACATCCACAGAGAGGCTCTGATCTGACACAGGTGACAAGAGGCAATTTGTACGTGTTGAGAAGTTGAACTGGTGAGGTTTAGTAGTGATGCACACTCATTGCCATCACGTTGATGCCAGCTATGGTAAAACTTCCCCAAGGAATGTCCAAGACTAACTTGACAGGAGTAGAAATCCACATCTTTCTCCTGTGAAGTGACTAGTGGTTTCGAACGGCTGATCTTGCAGTTAGCAGCCTGACACATAGCTACTCCCACAGCGGGGCTCCTGGTGAACACAACGTCTCCACAAATTGGCGTTAACGCCACAGCAGCCAAAACCACCTCCCTTATAAGGTTGTTCCGGAGAGCAAATGAGATGATAAACTGTTGTATGTCACTAAATTCAGGGTGGTTTGTTTCCTACAATAGGTAACTAGAGCAACATAGGTTGTAGTGAAGGACAACTTATTTTGTTACTTGGCATCATGAAAATAAAAAAGCAACACTGGTCACATTTCTACTTATCACAGCTCTCAAATAATTTGGACACACTGTTCTGCTGAGCTCAGTTTCATCATTGATCAGATGAGGGACCTTGGCAATCCCAACTGGTTCTTTAAGACTGTGATTCTCAGTAAACTGCACCATCAAGAAACACAGGACCCCTAAGGTCATTCTCTGTGCCAGGTATATCTTTCCTGCCTCTTCCCTGGCCAACCAGCTGCTGTGGAGTCCTTGCAGAGTCCTGGTGACTGTGTGTGTGCCAGGAGTAGAAGTGTGCTCCGTAGGGGGTTCCAGTGACTGGCATTTAGAAGCAGATCGTCAAGCACCTCTGGGTGTGCCCAGACCTCCAACTTTTTTAGCGGCTGAACACATTACCCATGTGTGTCCCCCTAGGACTCCACTTTATGAACTGGGGGCAGGTGGGGGGGGGGGGGCAGGGGGCTATGTTAGAAGTTGCTTTGCCACCCACAGTAGGTGCTCAGAAAATGAAGCATGAATTGAAACATCATTGTAATGGGTTCTTTGGTTTTGTCCTTTACCTGAGGCCACTCCTGTGTAAGTAAAAGGAGGAGGAGGAGTTAAGGTAAGTGTAGACTGCCCCAGAGTGTACTCCCAACACGAATTAGAGAAATAATTGGCTTCACTCTGTTCTTTCACTCGGCTCTGTTGATTTGTACCTAATGGCCAAAGTTGGCACCTTGCCCTGCGTAAGTTATCCCACTGAGGGCAGCTGAGCTGGTGGGGTCACAGGCAAGCCACCCATTACACTAAGCACCCTCCTCTGAACAGCCCGCTCTCAACAATAAAGGGACCCTGGAGGTGCTGTGGGCTGGGCAGTTGACTACTAGCCATAAGGTGGTCATCCAAACCCACCAGCAGATTTTCGGGAGAAAGAGGATGTCTGTTCCTATAGTTACCCTATGAGTGGGAATGAACCCGACCACAGTGGGCTCTGTGTGTGTGTGTGGGGGGGGGGGGGGGGGGGGGGGGGGGGGTTCCTCAGTAATAACGGCGTGCTTCACCTGTGTCTACCTCAGTTATGACATTTTTTTTCACTACTAAAGGCAGAAAAAAGGGCTGCACTGGGCAAGGGTGACTTTTTGACACTGAACAGAACAAGGCAGTTCCTCCGGTGTCTGCAAAGTCCTTACCTGCGGAGATGCACCAGCACCTGGAGAAGCCAGTGGGGGGCTGTGCCCTGCCGTCGCTCGCTTGATAAGTGGTCACGCCGCTCTCTGCAAGTAAGAAAGAAACACAGGGAGGGGCTGGTGGGTGAGCTAAAGGAAGCACGTACACAATCACTGCTCTATGGAAAGCAAATCCCATGCTCCCTGCCTCCAGCTTCCTGATCCTGAAAATGCCTTTCTGGTACTGAGGACTGAAAAACCTGACTTCTTCCAATGGAAAGGGCTTCCTGTGGCAGATTTTCTTCATTGGTTGTGACGTTAAAAACACCTCAAGGGGTGTTGAAGGGATCAGGTAGCAGACATCAAAGAACAACAAATCATATCATTGTGTGCTCACCTTCCCCATACAAATACTGAAGACAAATGTGTGCTTAAGCAAGTGTGGTGAAGAAGGCCGAGGGGAAGTGAGGAGATGAGTCAGTCAGGGTGCACTGTAGCATCAATGAAACACAACTTTCCTCTAGTTCTTAAATGCTCCGCGCCCCCCCCCCCCGCCCAATATCATGATCCCAATTATACTTTACAAACCTGGCTGGACCAGAGAATGTACACTCGTACAGATAGGAACTGGAAACAGGGAATCCAGGACAGATGAACCCCCTCAGGACCAGTGGTGAGAGTGGTGATACCAGGAGGGTGGAGGGAAGGGAAGGTAGAAAGGGGGAACTGATTATAAGGATTTACATATAACCTCCTCCCTGGGGGATGGACAACAAAAAAGTGCATGAAGGGAGATGTTGGACAGTGTATGATATGACAAAATAAAAATAATGTATAAATTATTAAGGGTTCATGAGGGAGGGGGAAGCGGGAAGGGAGGGGGGAAACAGCTGATACCAAGGGCTCAAATGGAAAGCAATGTTTTGAGAATCAGGGCAACAAATGTACAAATGTGCTTGACACAATGGAAGAATGGATGGATGGATTGTGATGAGTTGTACAAGTCCCCAATAAAATGGTTTAAAACAATAAAAACACCTCAAGGACAATATAGGACACATATTTTACTGAGGATGCTATTCACCTTCAGCATAGTGGATTTAACACACACCCCACAAAAAAAGAAAATATTTCATTAAAACTCTGTTCGCTTCTCAGAATTTACCATCTGAGTCCTTTCTGTGTGTCTTTGATGCTCTGAATCTGTACCCTCTGGTTTTCTTCATTCTGTTCTTGTCACTTCACATCATGGTTATCTTCACAATTGTCCTGAATATCCCAGGAGGGGGTTCAGCCATTGCCACGTTTATCAGGATTGGCGCTCCCGGCTGCTCTGCGAGACCCAGCACTGCATTTCGTCGTCCATTCCTCTGATGAAGACCAGCGGTGACAGGGACCCAGCAGGTGGTCTGTTCGCTGGCACCTTTGACATGCACGCTTATCCATTTGACGCGGTGGGTTGTTGTGTTGTGTTTGTGGCTTGTGATTTCGCCCGTTTCAGTGAGCTGGTGAAGCGCAGAGTGGTGGCCGCCTTGCACCCGCAGCCCCTCCACGCACCAGACCTGCGCCCGCGCAGCCTCCTTCCTCGAGCCCCGGGCGAGGCTCTACGAGCCTACCGGACCGACTCCGTCCATAAATCGTCTCTTCTGAT